ATTTATAAAGTTCATCTTGTAGGTGAATTTCACAACTTCTGTGTAGGCAATTAAAATAGTAATTTAAGATAAACTGGAGTTATAGCTTGGGACTACTGATTATTTTCCTTTCAGGTTGGTTTACTGCACTTAATTAGCCATGCATACATTTTTAAAGAGCTCTAGTAGATGATAATAGGTGTGAATATCTAAAGTAAAAACAAATCATGTTGTTTAATAAAATGCTAGAATTTTAAATATTGTTCATAATTATTTTTGTTACTCAAGAGCTTGTCTAATACTGTAAATAAATACAAATATAATCTAAAATAAGAATAAATAATTCTAACAGTTTAGGCAGAATATATTTTTATATTTCTCATCACATCTTAATTAATCACATCATCACTATTAAAATGATTTCACACCTATTCTAAGCACACATTTGTTTTATTAATCTTAAGTGAGAAAAAAAGGAGTGCTTTGTCAAATATTGATATTTTCACTGTGTGGAAAGGAAACTTAAAGACAATGAAATATTTTATCCAGGCTGTAAATTTACTTGTCAGTTGTACCTACCAGAAGTTGAGTTGTTTCAGTTCTACCCTATCCCTCTGCGAGAGGTTAGACAAAGGAGTTATAATGTTTTCTTATATTAAACAACACTGACAGACAACCACATTAAATCACCTTGTAAATCAATTAGTGGTCAAGAAAAATAAAGATTGATATACTTCAACTGTTTCTCTTCTCCATGTTGCTTCCTTTTTGTTGTCTTTCTTATATATAAGGTGAAATGAAGTATTATAAATAATTTTATTGTAATTTCTTAAAATATTTTATAGCTTTATTTGTAAAGTAATATTTCAAAATATAGTTTTTTCTTACATAAGAAATAAAAATTATCTGCAATCCCACCAACCAGTCATAGTTATTTTTATGGTATATTTTCTATTTGATTATTTATAATACTCCTTACTGTATGTTACATTTATCAATCCATAGATATCCATTTAACAGAAATGCAAGAGACCCACAGATAATTATCTCACAATAGATATACATATTTTTATTTAATCCTTTAATTCTATGTTATAAAAATTTATTATGAACTGTCATATATTTTCTTCCTACTATTGCATTAAATAAAATATTTAACTCTTATTTACATGTACCTAAGTTTATTGGAACCATAATTTACTCTCTACATTTTTATAAATTTTAAATGTTGTATTATTATTTTCTTATTTAACTATATTTTATTGATCATGCCATTACAGTTGTTCCATTTCCCCCCCTTCATCCCCTCCACCATGCACACCCTCCCCCACCCACATTCCCCCCCTTTAGTTCATGTCCATGTGTCATAAGTTCTTAAGCTTCTACATTTCCCATACTATTCTTGCCCTCCCCCTGTCTATTTTCTACCTACCATCTATGCTACTTATTCTCTGCATCTTTTCCCCCTCTCTCCTCCTCCTACTCCCCTGTTGCTAACCCTCCATGTGATGTCCATTTCTGTGGTTCTGTTCCTGTTCTAGTTGTTTGCTTAGTTTGTTTTTGTTTTTGTTTTAGGTGTGGTTGTTAATAACTGTGAGTTTGTTGTCATTTTACTATACATGTTTTTTTCTTCTTTTTCTTAGATAAGTTCCTTTAACATTTCATATACTAAGAGCTTGGTGATGATGATCTCCTTTAACTTGACCTTATGTGAGAAGCACTTTATCTGCCCTTCCATTCTAAATGAAAGCTTTGCTGCATAGAGCAATCTTGGATGTAGGTCCTTGCCTTTCATGACTTGGAATACTTCTTTCCAGCCCCTTCTTGACTATAAGTTCTCTTTTGAGAAATCAGCTGATAGTCTAATGGAACTCCTTTGTAGGTAACTGTCTCCTTATCTCTCACTGCTTCCAAGATTCTCTCCTTCATTTTAATCTTGGATAATGTAATTATGATATGCCTTAGTGTGTTCCTCCTTGAGACCAACTGCTTTGGGACTCTCTGAGCTTCTTGGACTTCCTGGAAGTCTATTTCTTTTGCCAGATTGGGGAAGTTCTCCTTTATTATTTGTTCAAATAACTTTTCCACTTGTTGCTCTTCTTCTTCTCCTTCTGATACCCCTATAATTCAGATGTTGGAATGTTTCAAGATGTCCTGGAGGTTCCTAAACCTCTCCCAATTTCTTTGAATTCTTGTTTCTTCCTTCTTTTCTGTTTGGTTGTTTCTTTCTTCCTTCTGGTCTACTCCATTGATATGAGTCCCAGTTTCCTTCCCATCACTATTGGTTCCCTGTACATTTCTCTTTATTTCACTTAGTGTAGTCTTCATTTTTTCATTTAATTTGTGACAAAATTAAATTAATTCTATGAGCATCCTAATTACCAGTGTTTTGAACTGTGCATCTGATAGGCTGGTTACCTCTTTGTCGTTTAGCTGCATTTTTTTCAAAGCTTTGATCTGTTCTTTTGTTTGGGTCATTTTTTTTTGTCTGGATGGGCCTGTTACATAGTGAGGGGTGGAGCATTAGGTGTTCACCAGGGCGGGGCAACCCAGTCACTGGGTTGTGACACTGTATGTTCGGGAGGAGTCCAAGAGAGAACAATGGCACTTGTTCCACTCTCTGCCAGATTTCAGTCACTTCCCCCTCTTCCCCCAAGCAAATTAGGCCCTTCTGATGCTGATTCCCATGTGGGTGGGTTTTTGTACACTCTAGCACCCTGTGGGTCTCTCCAACGAACTTTCCTGTGATTCTGGGAGGCCCCTCCACAATCTGCCTCCTCACTGGGTCTGCCAGCTACCACTTTGCCACGACTCCACCCCTCCTACTGGTCTGGATGAATGTGTCTACTTTAACTCCTTGGTTGTTGGACTTCCATGCAGTTCAATTTTCTGTCAGTACTGGTTGTTTCTGTTTCTAAATTGTTGCTGTCCTTCTTTTGGTTGTGCGAGGAAGCACAGTGTGTCTACTTATGCCTCCATCTTGGCCGGAAGTCTACTCTCCACATTTTAAATTGGCATATAAGTACATATATAATTAGTAATTAAAATATGGCATATTTGTTGTTGTGGAAATGTCTGCGAAAGGGAATAGTAATGAATTTTGTTAGAAATGTTTGTATTCTTTTTGTAATTTTTGAAGGTTGCTATCCTTGACTTAGGGTTTTTTTGTTTTGCTTTGATTAGAATATTGGTTAATGAAGTTTTTGAATATTTTATTTATATTTATTTGATGTCATAAGTCTTAGGCCCATGAGTTGGAATTTACTAGCCCTCTCCAACTCCTATCCTCACAGTGGAAGCCCTTGAAAATAGAAATGTGAGCTGAAGCATAAGGAAGCATTTACTCTCTGTTCTTCCTACCCTTATTAGGTCATGATCTCTAATTCATACACAGACATTTATGCATATATACCTACAGATTTACAACAAAGCTTATTACTTTTCTGAAACTTAAGACTCCAACCTATTTCAAAAGTAAATAAAGTTTTCTAAACAAGCCTTGAATGATATCAAATGTTATTGCTTCCTTTACCTCTTATTATTGATAGTTCTCTCTTTTCTTTCCCTACCCCCAGTCTAAACAGACAACTTATGTCCCACTTTAATTTAGTTTGGAAAATGTAGCCATGTTTTCACTTATCCTTTTCAAACAATTAATACCTTGCCTCACTCTCATTACATCTTCCTGAATTATCTAATACCCATTTCATTTTTGTCTGAATAGCAGCACGAGAAACTTGTGATAGGAAAGATAGTAAGTATGAGACATTAATGGTATATGAAGCATTTTCTGTATTTCAATAATTCAAAATAAATTATGTTTATCAAAATTATGTAGTTACTTTGTTAAACAACTTAGATAATGCAAATCTCTGGCAGATTTGAGGGAAATGCCATGGGTTGGTGAGGGAAGGTGGAAAAAGGGGGAAGGAAAGAGAAAGATGAGTTTTATGTAATTGGAGTTCTTGATAGTAAGATTCTTCATGAGCACTGTTTCTTCCTAGAAAAACATGAATTAAATTACTTTTTTTCACATTAAGATCTTATACAATTATTTTATTAAGCATACAAAAGAAAATAAATTCTTACTTAAAGTAAGTTAAGGAAAAAAGAAAGTCTAATGGAATGACATGGACTTCTATGGAAACTTTCTCAAGTTAGATTTTCTAAACTGTATTGCCATCCTTGAAAATGCGCAGTGATAGTAATAAAAATTTAGAGACATGATGTGGTCATGTGAGTACAGCACTCCTAGCTGTGCCTGGTGCACAATGGAAACATGACATAATATTTAAGCTCAAGATCCCCTTTTATTTTAAGTGAAACATTTAAGAATGAGAAATTATTTTTTATTAAGTTCAAAGAAAATTTACCATAAGTATTTCAATATTAATGTTTTGGCAAAGAGGTTTTTCCTGTTTAAAAAATTTTAATACATATTATTTTATAACTAGGTAAGGGAAGTAATGCATTTGAAATGTGAAATCTCTAACTTCCTTCATGCATTACTTCCCTTACCTAGTTGTAAAATGATGGATTAGTGTCAAACTCTTTGAAGTGGAGATTCCTAACTGTGAGATTCCAGGAAAGAATTAAGAAGAAAAAAAACTCCTAAATAACATTCTCTGGGTGGTATTATTTGTTGAAAATGTCTTGGGGTTTAAATGTAAATGCTCTGAAACAAGAGCAGTAAAATCCTATAGAATACAACTAATCAGAAGTATGGCATACACACTTAGTCTTGGATTTAAACAAACCATGTGTCTCTAGAATTCAACTGTGGTTCTGACTTAATGGTTTTTGTATCTGAAAAAAAGATTGCAAAGGTGGGGTAATTTTGACTTGAAAATTAAAGCTCTGGATATTTAAGCTGATATGCAAAGAACCAGCAGAGAAAAGTATACACACACAAGAGTATCATGAGTTGTACACTAATCAAATCTTAATAAATGGGGAATATTAGTGTAGAAGTGATGACTCACTAATAATGTGTTTTTTGTTTGTTGGTTTTCATTTTGCAGGAAAAGGTAAAGCACTTACAGAAGGCTTTTGCTTCAAGAGTAGATAAATCCACACAGACTGAAGTTCTAGGCTATGATGTAAGTAGGTATATAAAACCATTTTATCTTCTTTATTGGTGTTTGAACTTCCATAGCTTATTTGCCTCTGCTGCTACTGTGTCCATGCATTGATTTAGTAGAATTTAGCAGTGCGCCATTCATCTTTTGCTCTTAAATAATCCCCAAATACCTTCTGGAATTGGAAAAGATAATTACAGCTACTGACTAGCATATCAATGTCTTATTTTTTTTATACTAACATCACTAATACAGTCTTTTGAATTAGTGAATTTGCAGACATGTGGATAATACATATTACAATAGTAGGACAATTTATTTCAAAGAAAGTACAAATTTATTTATTAACAGCTTAATAAAGTTTTCAGTCACCAAAGCCAAGCACATCATTTTTACAATCTGCCACATAAAAAGAAACAATTTAGCAGAGAAATTTATAATAATATTTTAGCTCTTGGGCTTTAGTGCAGGCTGCAGAAAATAATTTAATTGAAAGCTAGCATTTTTTTCTTAGTGTGAAATACTGAACTGTCAAAATAAGATTGTAAAACATCTTTGAATACAAGATTGCTTCTAGTAACACTAGATAATTTTGGATAGCTTTGATTCAAATACCTGTCCTTCCTTAAATGCAGGTAAGAAATTTTCATTTTGCCTGAGTTTATGACTAAACTTCATTGTTCTGAAAAATAGAGGAGCTATTGTCTTTATCTTATAGGTAACGTCTGTGAGAACTCTCCTATTTGAAAACATTTGATAGAATTTTTAGCACTTTATTAACAAATATAAATAGAGTTGAAGTAATTTTATTTTATGAATGTGTTAATGAAAATGTGTTTATTTTCATGTCTTCATTATAATAATAAGTATGAATATTACTTTTGTATTTCCTTGCAAAGAAAATTAATATATTTAATATAAATCTACTGGTCTCTCTTAAGAAATAAACCAAAGTTTTGAATTCCAGTGCAAATTGTTTTTCAATATTTATATGCAGTACTTTTTAGTTTAAAAATCATTAAAATCTGTGCTTTTGTTTTGAATTTTGCTACATTCATTTTAATGTTTTCTAGATACCTAAAAATTCTAGATATCAATATTGTGATATATTTATTGACTACCAGTGTTGTATATTATTCAAATGATGTTATTATTTCATATTTTAAGAAAGAAATTATTTTTATTAAGTTCAAAGGGGATTTACTATATTTCAATATTAATACTTTTGGAGGAATTTTTTCCTATTTAAAAAATTTTAATACATATTATTTGTATTTCATTTTCTAGGATATAAACCCGGTATGTATTTTATAAATAATAACCTATGTATTTTTAAATCTTGAAGTCAGAGAGTTATCCAATCAGTAAGAAATCCAGAGTTCCCATGAAATCTTATTCTAATGTAACACAGGAAAACAAGTTAATATAGAATCTTCCACCTTCAAAACTATCAATTTTCAAATAAGTTAACTAAATTTCAGAGAAGTCCCTTGTTCACTACCACATGATCTTTATGGCAGTGGTAAAAGTCTAGTCTTTCCTTACAAGTAGTGCATTTTTTTAAGCTGATTAAAATTATTAGTCTTATTACAAGCACCATAAATGAGTTGCAGTTGCAGTTTTGTTCCACTGAGGGAACAATTTTTTCTTTTAAAAAGTAAAAAAGTGGTAAAGGTCTAGTCTTTTATTAAATGTAATATATTGAGCAAAAAAAAATAAATTGAGAGGAAAAAGAAAGAAAAAAACTCCTATAAAAAAGTAACATATTCTTATAAAAGGTGAAAACACTTGAATTTGGACAAATATTTCATTTTACCCCATAAGAGAAAATTATATTTGAGAAAATGAATTCTAAATGTCCAAAGGACTGAATATAGATACAGAATGTAAGAGACCTGTAGCACTGTTAGGACTGCGAATGGAAGGAGTTGCTAACAAATGAACAGCACCTGCGGGGCACTGACTAGCTAACGCCCTCCTGTGTGATTTTCCTATTTCTATGTAACTTTTCATATTAGTGCTATTTAGTTCTCTAACCAAGTAACTAAAAATCTAAAATAAAGCCATGAACATAGGTAATCCTTATTATTAAATCCTCATTGTTAAATACTCACTATTACTAGCATTTTTCATATCTGACAATGAGAGCTTAATGTATTGTACTGGATTGAGTTATGTTAAAGAAGAATAATTTCTGGGTAGCGAGTCCTTCAAGGATCCCCTTGTACAAGTGTCTGTTATTATTGTGGTAGGTGTAAACATGGAATAACAATCTTTTCTAAACAGTTCATGTTCTCATTTCTTAGGGATGTATTCCAAGACACAATCATCAGAATCAGCAAATGTATTACTAAATATATGTATATAGAACTTTATGCTAGTAACTAGAGGTAACTGTAGTAATGAAGTTCAGAGCGTTTTGTATGGAAAAATCTGGATAGGAAAACATTTAAATAAGTTAGAAATAAGTAAACCATTTTAAAAGTGGTAAGTTGTGTGACTATTTGGAATATGTGATTCATCAGCAATGTAATTTTACATGACTAGAATATATTTTCTATACTTTTCAATATCTATTTATAAATAATTTTTCATATTTTATGTAATAAGAACCATTTATCCTTTAATTAATAATATTTTACTTGTATTTTCTCCAGAAATATAGTTTGACATTATTTAATTTTTCACAAATGTGATATACGTATCCACACAGAATATTAAACTTCTTTACAATATGCAATATTTGTCAGAAAAAATAATGAAAAATCTTGTAGAAATCTTGCATATTATGGATGATTTCTATACTATCTTCTTCCTTCCTAAAGCTGCCAAATATTAGCTATGTATTTTCCTTATTGATCATTACAAATCATGTTTCAGTGATAGGGATGTCAGAATGTAAGAGATACAAGTATGCATTAATATTATTTCCTTGGGAAGATAGCTGTTGCTACACATTCTACTTAAGATAAGACAAAGCATCCCCCCATAAGACATTCATATAATGAAAATTACTAAAAGAAATTTTTAAAAATCCACTACAGTGAGTAGGTTCAAAGGTGTGTCCAATAAACTACTCTATCCTGTAACCGATTTATCAAGAGACTTGAAACTATTGTTAATGCACAATGTGCTCTGATTTGTAGTGCATATGCAAGAATTATTTAAAAATAAATTTGGAGTGTCTCAGCAAAGGCCTGTAAACACAATAGTTCTTGTGATGAAGGAGATTTGTTAAATAAATGATGAATGTGTCTTAAATAATCAATGCCAATTTAACCTCTTTCACCTTCCCCTGTCAGCACAGGCTTAGTTTATTGAAAGATCAAAGAATAATTTCTTAGGTGTCACTTGTATTATTAAAACAGGATAGAAGATGAATAGATGTAGTCAAGTAGTAATGATGCCACTTACAAGATTGCATTAAGAGGTGGGGAATACTGTTCTGATTACATCAACTATATAAATAGATGCTTCAACATAGTGTATATGCTATCTCTCTGTATTTTATAATTTAAACTACTGCAATTAATATTTTGGGTTAAATAATTGAGAATGAACAGCCAAATGCTGCAGTGTAGATTTTATATTCTAACACTGAGAAAATTCAGGTATTTCTATTAATTTAACATCCTCATGGATAACTTTTTTTAACTGCCTTGTGATGTTCTGCAGAAGACCTGTCTTTTTCAATGTGACTAATTGACTGTGTGTACATTTTCTTTCAATGCGTGCCTGAACGTGGAACAGTCGCAGGGTCTCTACTTTACTATTTTAGGCAAAAGTATTAACATTTTTAAAAAGGTTCTTCTTTTAGTGAGTGTTTTATACTTAAATTTAATAAGAAGTGTTTATTAGTTTTGAACTTGCAATGTTTTATTTATATTTTCTTTAAGTTACTGAGTATATCAATATTAACTTATTAGTTATCATTGTTCATATAAATACCATTAGTGGTTTTCATTCATTTATTTGAAATTGACTAAATTACGGCATCACTTATATTCTGACTCAGTCACATATGAATGAAACATAAATCTATTTGGGAATATATGCTCCTACCACTGCGTGTTTTTTGAATATTTTAACACACTTTCTGAAAGGTGCGATTTACTTTATAAGTAAAGCTTTTTACTTATATGCTAGGAAAGTAATATTGCTAGCTGTATTACAAATGCACATTTTGAAAAACTGCTCAATGCAATTATCTATGCATTCTTAATTGGTGCCACTTTTCCTTAGATTTAATTTTGGAGGTCCTCCTGGCACAGTTAGTAGTGTGCAGGGAGTTCTAGCAAATATGAAAATATTTATCATGTAAGTAATAAGAATTATTAGTTTTTACTGTAATTGTTTTATTAGCTACTAGACAGTTATCCTGTTATGCTAATGTTTGTGCCAGCCTGTGGATTAAGCCCTAGTCTAAGAATTGAGTAACTATCAATTAGGCTCTCACCTACCTGCTGATAAACTAGTTTTAAAGCTTTCTATTTGGGATCCATTTTTGCTATCATTTTCTTTAACTCAGTACTTCTGATCATTCATCAAAATGCCGCAGCATTTAGTAGATGAAAGCGTTCCCCCACATGCTTTATTTATATTTATTTATGCCAGGTATTTCTATTTGTTTTTTACAAATTAAAAAATCAGGTTTAAAAATTGAATGATATATTTCAAGTTTTCTTTTGAACTACAATTTCTCATATTACATTAAGGATAAGTTCCACTGAGGACATTAATTAAAAGCAATTACAGGAAACATGATCATTTGCCACAGGCACTTATTAATATTTATTAGAGGAATCACAGGTCCTCCAGCAGTGAAGTTCTAAAGGCATCACTTTTGAAAATTCCTACATGAATTTATTCAACAGATACTACTAAGTGCTGCTGGAAGCCAGGCCTTCTTCCATGTGCTGGGGATGCATCCTTTAATCAAACAACAAATAGTCCCTCGTGGAACTTGCATTTTGTGGGGGAGAACTTACAATAAACAATAAATATTTAAAAAGTAAGTGAATTATGTACTACATTAGAAGGTGCTAAGCACCATGTTCAAAAGAAAAATAGCACAGGGAAGGAATGATTGTGAATGTTAAGGACGGGCGTCAAGGCTGTGATCAGAAATTTTAAACAAGGTGATCTAGGCAGGTCTGTGGGTGAGACATGAGATGTGAAGCTTGAAGAAGGTGAGATGAGAATCCCATTTAGTCAGAAATTTTTTTGTGATATGTGCTTTATGAAAACCCCTTGAAGATCTGCAGTCAGTAAGAACAAATTGCTTTACCTTGCCAGAGCCCTAGGTAAGAATAGTTGGCTTCATTTAGAGGCTGTGCAATATGGAAAAAAAAATGCATTCATTGCCATTGAACCCAAAATCAGACCCAATGCAGTAAGAAAGTTTTCACCAGGAAAACACCGCCTGAGCAAACTGCCCAATGAGGCCTCTCGAGCACACTCAGAATAAGCACTGCGGCGAGAACTGGGTCGGTCCAACTACACCACGTAAATTACATTTGCTTTCCTCTTTTTTGCATGTACCCTTTTTACCCCCTTCTCTTTCTGTGTGCCATTCATCTTCTAGAGTTGAATTTATATACTTTGAATGTATAATTAGGCTTCATTATATATCAGTACGCCCCATTTATCAAAAGCGTGCCAGTCAACAAAAAAATAGAAAGTACTCAATGATTACTTGGTGAAAAATAAATTAACTAAAAGGTTCTAATGTCACTTTTATGATACTAAAAATTTGTAATAAATCAGTGTGCATTATTTTACTTTATTTACAACAAAAGCTACAGAAATGCATATTGCTATCCTACCTTTTATTTTATATTATGTTGTTATATCTAACACACTCTGAAATGACTACTCTGTGCCTTTTAGAACAAATCATTAAATGCAGATTGGCATAGACAACCAGTAATTTTAAAACCTAAGTGTCAACATATAGTTGCCTTTACAGTATTGCATTGAATGCTTCTTTGTTAAATCCTGAATCTTTAGCTAGGAGCCAGAGGATTCCTGGAAAGCCTCCAGGTCTTTAATTCAGTTTTGACTACAAACAATTAGGTAACTGATAGTTCTCTTGTTAAGAGAATTTGTGGTTAAAAATTTTATGGGAGAAAAGCAAGACTAGGTATTTAGTAAAAAAGCTCTTGTAATTATACAGATATTCATTAAATGAAATAATAAAACACACACAAACTATTTTGTACAGCTTAAATTATGTAGGGAAGGAAAAATAACTTTCCCTCTATCCTTCTTGGTTCTTGACTGAGATCCTTCCCAATAAG